GTTAATAATCTACCATAAACAGGCTGCTCGAACTCCACTCATATCCACTAGAGAAAAAAGGGTGTTCAAATCCAAAAAACATCCTTTCACATGCCTGGAGTCTAGGTGTCTTGGGTCTGGCCTCACCTTGGTCAGGAAGTCTCATAGGGACCTGTAGAGACTCGTGTTGTTCAGACGCTGACCCGGCTTCACGGTCTCCCGCAGCCCTCGGGGAGCCAGTTTATTGGGCAAAAGCCAATTCATAGCTCGCGAGCTTTTCTTTTGCCTTGGCTGCTGTGAACACATTAGACACCCCCATATGCCTTAAGCCTGTCTAGGTGGTGGGAGCCATGGGACTCTGTCTAGAACCAGAACAATCGATCTTGCCGACACTGTTCAAATGAGGGGTCTCTTTACAAGCAGCCAGTGTGGCTCTGTTAGGAAACACGAATCGGTACCACTGTGTGTCCACCAAAACAGACAAGCAAAGCGGAACACACCATGAAACTAGCAAGAAAGAAGGGCGAGCACTTGGGGTTTTCCCGTGATTCCTTGTTTATGGCACATCCGTCTCTTTCCTTGTTCACGTACTCACAGATGGCGGCACAGGTCGAACATCTCTAGTCCCGAAACCTGAAAAGCTCCGAAGTCCAAAACTTTCTTTTTTAGAGACAGTCTCGCTCTGTCGCCCAGGCTGGAGTGTGGTGGCACAATCTCGGCTCACTGCAGCCTCCGCCTTCTGGGTTCAAATGTTTCTTCTGCCTCAGCCTCCCGAGTAGCGGGAATTACAAGTGCCCACCATCATGCCCAGATAATTTTTGTATTTTTTGTAGAGACGGGGTTTTGCCATGTTGGCCAGGCTGATCTTGAACCCCTGGCTGGCCTCGAGCAATCCACCCTCCTTGGCCTCCCAAAGTGCTGGGATTACAGTCGTGAACCACCATTCCTGGCCCAAAGTCCAAAACTTTCTGAGCACCAACATGACACTCAAAGGAAACGCTCATTGGAGAGTTTCAGGTTTTGGATTCTCAGACTAGGATGCTCAGCTGGTTAAGTATAATGCAGATATTCCAAAATTTTTTTAAAAATGGAAATCCAAAACACATGTTCCCAAGCATTTCAGTAAGGGATGTTCAACCTGTAACGGTTACCAATTATTTAAGAAAAGTCCAGATTGGGAAGGAAACAGGACCCCTAAAATTTCAGCAGATGTAATCCATTCAACCTAATTATGTTTTTGCAAGTCAGTTGCTAGAATTTGAATTCAGCTAAAACATCTCAGGCCCACTCACAGAACTTTGTGTTCCTTGGGAACTTAGTTTGAGAAACACTGAAATCATATACGTGTTACTCCTAAAAGGCTGCCTGGCACAGCATTAGGACTCTTAAAAGGTCTGTTTCTTTACATACTTATTATGAACCTGCCCTCTGGCTTCTAAGCAGTTTCACTTTGACAAGGACCAGATCCTCTCCCAACAGCCTAATGAGGTTACTGGAAACCCCGTTTACCAAAGCAGAAACTGAGTCTCCCCCAGACTCGACTCACTCAAGGTCACATAACTCAAGCCCTGAAACAGGGACAAGAACTCGGTTCTCCCTGCCCCAAAACCATACTTTTTCCCCTTTCCCGTCCTTGTCTCTGAGGGTGTTCAGATCTGTTTAATTAAGAAAAAATGATGGTGACAGTTGGTCTGTGACGCTGAAGATGTTTCAAAACTGTGGATCTTGAAATCCAAATGCTCGTTTTCTTAATTTTCTTTTGTTTTCTTTTCCTCCTGCTGTCTCCCTTCAATCCTTTAGAACACAAACTTGACCACCCAGGAGCATGAAAACATCATTGTGGTAAGTTCCTCTCCAACACGCACCCTCCACCCACCTCCGCCTCCTGGAGCCTACAACCCTTTTCCTGGTTTGGGGTAATTCTGGCGCCTGCGTAATCCACCAGCATCTGGCCTTGCTCCGTTTTGTCTTTTCTAGCAAGCTGGTTGCATCTCCCTCTGCCTTTGCACATTTCAGAGCCCCAGTTGATGGGAGAGGGAGTGTAATTATCTGTCTTTGAGGTTTGTAGCAAATGTATCATAATCGCCTCCTCCTTCCTGAGTCTGCCTAGGGAGTTGAAGGCAGGAGATGGCAGAGACCGTATAATTTATTCAGAGGCATCACCCCATTAGCTGAAAGGTAAACGTCCTCTTTCTTGCCCCAGGACATGTCTGCCAATTAATCCACAAATAGAACTTGGATTTAATTCCCTGTGATATATAAAGTGAGATGCTGTTTTCTGGGACTCTACCATGACGTAAGCATTTTTGAGGTAAAATATCTTCCTGGATGACTTTTAGCTACGAAACCTAACTCTCACTTGAGAGAAGAAAGCAATGAAATCACTCCTGCTAGATGGTCAGCACCGTGCTGTGTATTTGAATTCAGATAACCTAGTCCCCAAGGAGTTCGTCATCTATTGTAAGAAGACAAAAGTGATCACCGCAAAACATAGAGACATTGAGTACAGAGAGTAAGTAGAGTGATAAACTCCCCTGGGAAAGGAGCCAGAGAGCTTCCTGGAGGTAGTGATATCTGAGCTGGGTTTTGAAGGATCAATAGGAGTTTTCCAGGTGGCAAAACAGGATAAAAGCATCCCAGAGAGAAGAAACAATGTGCAAGGGCACAAAGATTTAAAGCAACGTCGTGCATTCTGGAAGCTTCAGCATTTCTGGAGCATAAAGCATAAGGAAATGAGAAGCAGGCGGATGGGAGATGAAATAGAAGCAAGAGGCAGAGCCTTTTGTGCCCAGGAGGGGACCTTGGAACTAAGCTGCCTGGGATGTCTCCTGGCTGCAAGGTACAGAACAAGAGCAGCATCAGTCACTAGGCCCCTCAGACTCCTTTAGCCGAATCGAGGCCTTGAGGGACCCACTCATTCGGCCCTGGCAAGCCAAGCTGGTTATGGTATGCACAAAATGAGGTGGACCCCAGGCCTTTGATTGTAGAGAGTCAAGGCAGCAGCTTCTGCCTTTGCTGTCACCTCCAGTGTCTGGCACATAGTCGGCCCTCGGTGGGTGTTTGCTAACAGTATAGAGGTTTTCTCCATGCTCTCACCCTGACTATCCATTGCCTTCTCTTGCCAGAACAGGAGAACAAGTCAACCTGGGCACCCCCAGTCACTCACCACCACCTTTTTCCAGCATAGTATTAATTCATCCATTCATTTAACGAACTTTGCTGAGCATGTGACTTTAACTATGTGCCAGACACTAACTCTGTCCCACAGATAGAGAGCTGGACGAGACATGAGGCCGGCGTTGAGGATTGAATGTATGCTGAGAGAACCTGGCGGGTCAACAGATAATACAAAAATAACATAGCCAAGGGCTGAGGTTTGTTCTGGGTGTTAGTGGGGGTGCAGAGGATAGGTACTTAACCTGTGTCAGGGAGGGTACTGGGAGGATGATGATGGAGGACTTTCAGGAGGAGGTGACCAAGCTGAATCTTAAAGGAGAGATAGGAGAATGTCAGGTAAACGGAGCAAGCTGGGGAAGGCGTTCCAGGCAGGGGGACTTCCATGTGCAAAGGCAAAGTGGTAAGATGGGCTGCTGCAGAACCGGGAGCAAGCGTGAGAGCCGGAAGGAGGTACTGCTTCCTCTCCCTGCCAGCAACACCTATGGGTCCCACTGGGTGCCTGGAAGCCCTGGATGGAGGACAAGGGCTTGCATTCAGGACAAGCCTGGGAAAGAAATTTTGATCCGAGAAATCCAGGCTGCATTTATCCAGCTAATATGGCTGAACTGAACCCTTAGTTGGGTCGGGTTGAGCTTCTCGGCTCAGCAGGAATGCCTGACAACTGGAAAGAATTTGATCTGAGGGTCTGACCCTCATCCCTGCATTTTACAGCCTCCCCTTCCAGCATTCTTTTATTACTATTGCTGTTGTCATTATTGTGACGACTTCTGGAGCCTCCTTTCATTCCAACAGTTACATCCTCTTATTTGCCCTATTGGCAATTAGTCTTCTCCCATGTGCTTGGTAGTTTTTTTATGCACTAATTTTTCTACCATAGCTTGAGTTGGTTTTATTCATTCCATTGGCCAGGCAATAGTAACTGTTGTTGGTCTTGGACCAGGAGTCCAAACCCCAGCTGTGATCCGGCTCACTATGGAAGGCGCTCACCATGGTGGTGAAGAACGTGGGCTTAAAGCTGAATCTAGGTTCAAGTTTAGAATCAAGTTCAGACCCCAACCCCAGCCATACTAGCTGTGATAGAACTTTTAATTTTATTTAAAATATCATTTTGCAAGTATTTCTTTTTTTCTTTTCTTTTCTTTCTTTCTTTCTTTCTTTTTTTTTTTTTTTTTTTTTTTTTTTTTTGAGACAGAGTCTCTCTGTCGCCCAGGCTAGAGTGCAGTGATGCGATCTCGGCTCACTGCAACGCCACCTCCTGAGTTCAAGTGATTCTCCTGCCTCAACCTCCTGAGTAGCTGGGATTACAGGGGCGCGCCACCATGCCCAGCTAATTTTTGTATTTTTGGTAGAGACGGAGTTTCACCACGTTGGTCAGGGTGGTCTTGAATTCCTGACCTCAAGTGATCTACCGCCTTGGCCTCCCAAAGTGCTGGGATTACAGGCGTGAGCCACTGCGCCTGGCCAATTTTGCAAGTATTGCATGAGTATGAGTATGTTTTCATCAGGAAAAGAGGATATCATCCCATCCCAGTGCCCTCTTCAGAAACATCTTGTTTTCAGGTGGTGACAAACCCACACAGACAGATATGGTTGTGGATTTTTTGGGTTTTGGGTTTTTTATTTTTATTTTTTTTGCTTTTAATATGAATGATGTGATGCACGGTGTGTCGCCCTGGATTTATTTTTCTCTCTTCACAATATGGCCTAGAGGTTGTTCGAAGTCTTTTCGTGGCTGTCTACCCTACAGTTCCTGATCCTTGTTTGTTGTGTTTCAGGCAATCGCTCCTTTGCTGGAAAACAACCACCCACCACCAGATCTCTGTGAATTCTTTTGCAAGGTACGGGATTGCTGAGCTGGGGCTCTGGCGGCAGGGGCTACCTCCCTTGGTGTATGCACACTGGGGATCGGGTTTGCACAGAAAGGCTGAAAACCTGGGCCCCACAGTCTTGGGCCATGGTCCCAGACACAGGCGGAGGGCATGCCAGGCACCCATCCTTAGGGTTACACCCACCTCTCTGCGCCAGGTACCCATCCTTAGGAGTTACACCCACCTCTCTCTTGAGTACCCATCCTTGAGGTTACACCCACCTCTCTGCGCCAGGTACCCATCCTTGGGTTACACACCTCTGCGCCAGGTACCCATCCTTGAGGAGTTACACCCACCTCTCAGCCAGACAGGTGACAAGAGTCAGAGGAGAACATCTTGCTTTTCACCTCTCTGCGCCAGGTACCCATCCTTAGGGTTACACCCACCTCTCAGCCAGACAGGTGACAAAGAGTCAGAGGGAGAACATCTTGCTTTTTCTTGGAATCACTTCCCGGCTGTCCTGGGAGACAGGTTGCTGCAGATTTCCTGGGCTCCTGACGTCAGAGCTGGGTTATTATTAGCCAAGGTTCCTCTGCGCAGTGGCTGGCCCACGGTGGGGTGCGGCTGTGGGGCTTTCCCTGAACACGGGAGGCAGCATGGTGCTCCAGGTTAGCTTAGAGGAGCCGTGGAGCAGGGCATCCGCTGTCAGGCACCCGGCACCAGCCTTGCAGTGGGCTTCACATAGGACATGCCCAGGGCATATCGGGGACCAGGCATTTCTCATTCCCAGAGCACATCTTCTCGGCTCAGGCCGAACCAGCACACAAACCTGTTTTGTTCTTTGCTGTGTGTGGTTTTTTTTTAGTGTAATAATTGTATGTCGTTGGAAAGACATGTTCTCAGCGCTCCCCTGTCATACCCCTGCTGCCCTGCTCAGCTGGTCCTCATCCCTCCACGCTCCCATTACCTGCCTCCTGCCAAGGTCACCCGCTGTCCTTTGGAGAGGTGTGGGCTGTGTACAGCAGTGGGACCCGCCTGTGGGGTGGAACAGCAGGCCCCTGGGAGGAAACGGGACTGTGGTGCGCTTGATTTCCCTTGCCCTCCCCCGGCCTCCCGCTCCCGGGTGTGTGTGTCAGGGGATAGGAGCTTTGAAAGGGAGACAAGATCCTGTTGTCCTCCTGGAGTCTGCCTCCCTATCAGGATTCCTTTTCTAGCGACCCACACACCTGCTGGTCTGAGTGCCCAGGGTACTTGTCAGGTCCTGGAACGACCTCTACCCCCATCCTTAATGCGGGCATGTGCAATGTGTGCCCCCGGGCCCAGGGAGTGAACACCCACGAGCGTGTGTGTGTGTGTGTGTACAGGTGTGGATACACACAGGCCCCGGGCTCCTTGGGGCACACGAGGGCCTTCTCTGCCCCTGGGCCTCATGGGTATCATGCCCCCAGCAGAGTGGAGTTAAATAACCCGGTATCCTGAGAGAACGGCTAGCTGCTCCTCTGCCTGTCACAGCAGGTCACCTCCTCCATCTCCTGTCCAGTTTAACCCAAACCTGCCCCATGCTTGCCTCTCAAGCTTAGGATTTCTCCCAGATCTCATGATTCTCAAACTCTGGTTCTAGAACAATGGGTATTTGTTGTAGAACAAGATACACTTGCCTCACTGTGTTTCCTACCTGAGGCTTCACTTGTCTCACTGTGTTTCTTACCTCAGCGTTCCTGGTAGCACAGTTTGGAAAAGGGTGAGGTAGAAAAAGTTATCCTTTTTGGCATTCTTGGCTATAATCCCGTGTGGGTGTTTCAAAGAGGGCCGTCTGCCTTTTGGAGGGAGGGGGGTCCCAGCCACGTGGGATGCTTCTTTGGCTGTTTTCCCTCTGGGAGTTGGAGCCCAGAGAGGAGAGCTTGAGGGGACCAAAGCCTCCCGCGCTGCGTCTGCTCTGCCAACCTCCTGCCAAATTCCAAGATCTGAGGAAAGTTTATTCATCTTGCTTTCTCAGGGGAGCCCTGATTTCTCTTACCCCAGGTCCAGCATCCTCATCCAGGGGCCGGGTGGGTGATCAATATGTGCAGGACACGAGGGAGGGGCTGGGCCTTGTCTGCACAGCCTGTGAAGGGCTTCCTTTCCAATCTGAAAAACAAAACGCCACACTGGTGATGAATTGGGCCTGCAGACTGCCCCCCGAGTGCTAAAGCCACCAATTGAAGAGTCACAGAATTTTCAACACCCTGGTGTTCAAATGCTAAAGCCCTGGTATTATCATACCCAGTTTCCAAGGTCTTTCAGACCACACATGCAGAATCTTAGCTTTACAAAATCTTAGCTAACGTTATATGTTAAATAAGGACCATGTCAGGACGCCTATGTGTACCATCTGAAACAGTCTCAAGCTTTAAGGTCAAAAGCAAACAAAAAGCAAACAAAAGCTCTCATCTCATCTACTTTTTTAACTCCAAAAAAAGAAAAAACTTTTAAGGCTATGGCACTCCTAGGTATTTCCTCAAATGAGTTCAACACACCTGTCCACACAAACAAACATCTATATGTAGATGTTACAGCAGCTGTGTCCATGACTGCGAGAACCTGAAAGCACCCAAAATGCCTTCCAGCAGGTGAATGGATAAATAAACTGTGGAATGCCAGACAATGGAGTGTTATTCAGCACTAAAAAGAAACGAGCTAGTAGACCACGAAGAGAAAGGGGGAACTTTAAATGCATGTGAGTGAGAGAAGCCCATATGAAGAGGCTGCACACTGCATGATTCCAACTACAGGACATTCTGGGAAAAGCAAAATTATACAGACAATAAAAAGATTGGTGGTTGCCAGGGGTTGGGGAGAGGGAAGGATGAATTGGCTGAGCACAGAGGATTTTTAGGGAGTGAAACGACTTCCTATGATATTACAGTGGTGGCTCCAGGACATCAGACATTTGTCTAAACACCCAGAACGCACAGCACCAAGAGTGAACCCTAAAGTCACCTGTGGACTCTGGGTAACAGTGATGTGTCAGTGTGGGGTTATCCATTGTAACAAATACCCCACAGGGTGTACATGCTACATTGGTTACACTGCACGGTCCTTTGGGGAGGCGTGGGCTGTGTCCACCAATGAGACCAGCTTGTGAGGTGGAAACGCAGGCACCTGGGAGGAAAGGGGACCGTGGTGCACTTTACCCCCCGCCCAGGGAGTCCTCTGTGTGTGCATCAGGGGACAGGAAAGGGAAACAGGATTGTGTTGTCCTCTTGGGCCCTGTCTCCACCAGGATTCTTTTTCCAGTGCCCCACATGCCCGCTGGCCTGAGTGCCCAGGGTACGTTTCTGGGCCTGGAACGCCCCCACCCTATCCTTAATAGGAACATGTGCAGTGATAGTTGGGGAGGCCGTGCGTGCCGGAGGAGGGGGTATCTGGGAAAGCTCTCTACCTTCCTCTCCATTCCGCTCTGAACCTAGAACTGGCCCCCCCCCTCCAAAATAAACTCATTTGTGCAACAGTGTTCATCAAGGGAACCCAGGCACCCACAGCTGTCTCCAGCCCTGCTAGCAGCCCCGGGCTGTGGTCGGAACATTCTTAGGCCCACAGTAACTATACCCCACTCTCTCCCCAGCACTGCAGAGAGCGGCCCCGGTCCATGGTAGTCATCGAGGTGTTCACCCCCGTGGTGCAGCGAATCCTCAAGCATAACATGGTGAGTTCCCCCTGCCTCAACACCCAGACCCCAGCGCCCAGTGCATGAGGCCCCGTGCACCTCCCTGGCCTTTTGTGTTGGCACAGATTTGGGGGATAGGATTGGCCCAGCCCGACAGCCAGGAACTGGGGTTGAGATTCTGGTTAAGGAGTTTTGGGGGTTTTGTACAGCTTGTCCTCCATTATGGCAACAGGAAGAATCTTTTTTGCAGTACATAAGAATTACAAAAATACCGTGGCTGGAGGAGAAGAGGAAAGCCTCCCAGGGAGAATAGGCCCAAATAATGTCTGTAGATGCCCCGCCCTCAGGGACCCAGAGCATAACTTCTCACTCCTTTAGTGTGGGCTGTGCACAGCGAGGTCCTTCCAGAGAGCACTATATGGAAGGGGGCAAGAGTCCCCTTGCAGTGGAGAAAACAGACACACCCAGACTCAGTCAGATGATCAAGGTCAACATCAACAACAATAAGTCAATTTGACAGAATTTCCCCTTGATATGATGTATAAAAACTACGTTTGACCTCTGTGGTGTTCCTCCCAGTAACCCATCACCCCATTGCAATCATGAGAAAAACATCAGACAAATCCCAAGAAGGGGACAATCTACAAAGTACCTGGCCAATCCTCCCCACGGTCAAGGTCGTCAAAAACAAGGAGATTCTAAGAAACTGTCACAGCTCAGAGGAGTCTAAGGGGGCATGACGACTAAATGTCATTTGGGGCCCTCCATGGAATCCCAGAATGGAAAAGGGACATGAAGGCAAAACTGAGGAAATCTGAATAAAGCATGGCCTTTATTTATTTATTTATTTATTTATTTATTTATTTATTTATTAATACAAAGGTAGGGTTTACTTGCACGCTTACAGTGGCTGGGGTGCTTGTAATCTGTGTGGCCCCTTGGTGTTCCCTCATCATTCCAGGGACAGCAGCAAATGCCATTATTTGCCCTGTACAACACGAGAAAACTGAGGCTTAGCTAAGTCCACTAAGTGGCCACAGGGGCCACAGGTAGGACTAAGAATAACATCTTTTTGCAGATGTTTATTGAACACTTTCTTGGAGTCAAGAGTGTGACGCTCTTTGAGTGTATTGTGTCATTAACCCTCGTGCCCTTCCCATGACGTCTGTGCACAGGAGGAATCTGGGACCCAGAAAGGCAGGACAGGATAGGCAGGGTCTGATGAGCAGCTGTGGGTGCTCCTGGGGGGAGCTAAAGAGCAGACAGCCTGAGGTCAGTGTTCCTAGTCACATGTTGTACTGGGCCAGCCACCACCTTAGACTTTAGAGCCTCCTGGAGCGTGTGAAAACAACTGAAAAAGGGTAACTACAAATCATTTCGCCTGTGATATAGCTTGCCTGTCTCCACATCATGGCCCTGAAGAATACTGTATCACCTACAGCCCCTTCCCCAGTCAGGAATGGAAGTGCATGATACATGTGCTCCTCTACCCCTTTCATACTCATGGCAGACATCATTAATCAATTACAGCACTCTTCCTGTAGAGCCAGAGATAGCATCAGTTTCCCCTCCTGCTTTCCAGGCCACCACTACCAACTGAATCATGTTAGTACCCTAATGAACACTATGTACCATTCTCTACCCTAAGCTGTTGCAAACCATAATTGAATTGTTGCTGATTTCTGAGCCCCTCCTAGATTTGGGGTAAATTCATTTCTTGTTTTCAGAACACAGGGGAGAGGGACACCCTGTGCCGTTCTTTCTCCAGGACAAGGAGACTTCCCACTGGGGAATGGGGAGGGGTTTCTGCCTTAATTTGGGCGCTCATAGTTTCAAGGAGGAGATCTTTCTGGCTTTGTCCACCTGGGAGGAAAGGGACCCTACTCATTAACTTTAAAATCACTGCGGGTGTAGTGTATGGGGAGGACTGTGTCATGTTGGAGTTCAGAGCAAAGGTTCTTCAGGTTTTCTTGCAAAGGACCTTAACTTGTCAATGGCAGAGCCATAGCCCCAGGATATACTTGGCAGGGGAATGCCTCTTCAGGCACATAAACATTTTTGCATATTCCATGTTAGTCAATAAACCATTTTATAAGGGTTCTTTGGGGACATCTGACTTCAAAGGGAAAAAATTCAGAATTCAGACAGCCTCTCAGGGCTTCACCATACAACGCCTCTCTTGTATTTGGTTAGTTTTATGGGCCTGGAGTGTTGACCATGTAATAATTTTCTCTATAAAAATCAGAACAACTCTCGGCAGACCCAGAATTTATAGTATCTGTGGCGGTCTGGCAGAGAGTTGGGACCCTCAGCCATGAGTCCTCGCCTCATTTGTAACGGGTACCCCCTAAGTGATCCCAGGTGTCTGGGGATGCTTTAACGCACCCAGATCCCACCTTGTTCTTGGCGCCTACTAATTACACACCATGAGCGGTGGCATCAGAGGAGAACTGCAGGGAGGACCGAGGAGGATCCGCCCCTCATATAGAAGAACAGATTGTATTAAACAGTGATTATGGCCATGCCAGGCACGGGAAGACCTGACCTCATGGAATCGTGACAACACAGACGGTGGGCGAGATAGAGCTTTGACATTCACTCATTGAATGCTCCCTGATGCTTAATGAGTGGCCATGGGTCAGCAGCACCGTTCTGGAGCTGGCGCTCTCAGCTGGTGTGGGGGTCAAGTCTCTGGCTAAGGAGCATAAGCCATGAGCCTGTTGGGGTAGCATGAACAGTGACTTCTCTTCACCCCAAATACAGTGTTTTTCCTTAAGGAGGCGCTCAGACATTTAGGAAGCAGGGGGAACATAGCCACAGTGCTGTTGTGGGATTTGGGGCTCCCCCATTCCGAGTATGTCTCTTGCAAATATGTTATATGCCCCATTTCATGGATGAGCAAACTGAAGCTCTGAGAGTCTCAAAGAACGTTCCTTGCTAGACCGAGATAAAAAGTAGAAACAAAAGGAAGCGGTTCTTTAGTATGTTCCTCTGGAGATTCAATCCAAATAATGCGCCAAACTGCATTGTGAAGAATGGCCATGTGTCTCTGTGCCCCCATGCCACTCGGAGTGTTCTTGTGGCAAAGGAGGCTAGAAGACATGGCTGTGGTCCCCAGTGGACCACCAGGTAATCTGACCTCCAGTTTTCCAAGGGGATTATATTTTTCAGAGGCTGCTGGATCCCTCTGTAAATGTTTATTTCCATGGAAATGACCTTGATTATTCAAAAATCCAGTAGCTAAGATGACAGTTACCTAAGTCTCTGTTGAAGCAGTTCATAGAATCTTAAAACCCTAATGGTGGAAGGGGGCTAGAGGTCGCTTCTGTGGAGCCTCATTCCATAGTGGGTACCGTGAGGCCCAGAGATGGGCGTGGCAGCCCAAAGCCAGATGAAATACTTGTGAGGCAGATGAACTGGCTCCGGGACTCTGCTTCCCTCTTTATGTAGCGGGACAGTCCTAGCAGGCAGATGAGTGAAAGCTCCCTCTCCACTGTCTCTTAAGGACCCAGTTCAGCCCCTTTGACTCCACGTGAAGAAGCCTCCAGTGGCTCTAGAAACTCTCCTGGGAGTTCGCGGGAGGGCATGGTAGGAACAGGTTCCACTCAGAGCTTTCATGCCAGTTTCGGGGTCAGTTAGACCTGAAGGGGTCTCTACTTCTTTTCTACAGCTTAGAGTCCTGATTCAGGCTGCTCTCTTTAAAAAACAGCTTCCACTGAGATGGGTACAGAGGGACAGGTCTGGAGACTCTAGGCTCCCCTCCGTGTCTTGCTGGTCAGCCACATCACTTTTATGGAGGGTCTGGGCAGGGCCGTGCCGCTCCTGACTGGCCAGACACAGCCCGAGGGGCTGGCAGTCCCAGCACCTCCCCAGCCCTAGCCACGACTCTGGAAATGAATGTGGCAGCCAGACTCACAGGCCCCCGTCCAGCTCATGCCTCTCTCCTCTGCTCCTGGCAAGCCCCAAGCCCGCCACTGGGCTGGGTGCCGCCTTCCTGCCTCCTGGCAGAGTTCGCTGTGGCGTGGCCCCTGTCTTCCTGACACCTGGAAGAGGCCGAGCACAGCAGCCACCAGTTATGGCCCTCGGCCGGCATGGGCAGGGTCCCTGTGTCCTTGACCTGGCCCCTCGACA